GTCTGTATTCAATAGCCTAAAGCAGGGGTCTCAAACTCAACTTACCTGGGGGCCGCTGGAAGTAGAGTCTGAGTGAGGCTGGGCCACATCAAGTATTCCACCTCCGCGGTGGTGGTGGGCCACTCATCCCGTGGCCGGCCTGGGCGCCGCCGGCGCTTTGAAGGCCGCAGGGTCTCTCCCCCATGCCCCGCCCATCCCGGCAATTGGCCCACAGGCCGCGAGTTTGAGACCCCTGGCCTAAAGTTCTCTGTACTGTAGTCAAGATTTTTGTTTCTTAATGTTCAGCTGCAGTCCTGCTTTTGCAGTTTCTTCTTTCATGTTCATTAGGCGTAATTTCAATTTACTGCTGCTTTCTGCCAGTAAGATGGTATCATTTGTATATATTAAATATCTTCCACCAATTTCCACCCCTTCCTCAGATTCTAATCCTGCTCTATTATGATATGTTTTGCACACAGATGGGGAGATAAAATACACCTTTGTCTGATGCCCTTGCCTATAAGAAATATTCTGTTTCTCCATATTCTGTTATAAGAGTAGCTTTCTGTCTTCAATAGAGGATACCCATCAGGACAATCAAGTGCTGAGGCACCCACATTTCTTTCAGAATCATCCATAGCTTCTCAGGATCCACACTGCCAGAGGAATTTTGTAGTCTATAAATCATAGACTGATCTTCTGAAACTCTGTGGTGAGCTCCAGGAGCCAACATATATTTATAATTTCCAGTAGCCAACATATATTTATCTCCAGTGCCTTCTCCTTTTCAGAATCTAGCTTGATCATCAGGCATTTCTTTCCATATAGGGTCAAATTCTTTGTTGCAATAACTTGAGCATCACTTTCCTTGTATGGATAATTAATGCAATGGCCCTACAGTTTCTATATTCTTTCAAATGTCCTTTCGTGGGGATTGGAATGTATATTGGATGATTTCAGTATTTATTTTCCATATTTGTTGGCATATTCTTGTAAGCTTTTGTACCAATTAAATCTCTGCAGCTTGGAATAGTTCTCTGGGTACCCTGTCTACTCCAGTTGCTCTCTTGCTTCCAAGTGCTTTTAGACCAGCTTTCACTTCACTTTCCCCTACTGAAGGCTCTGCCTCCTAGGATTCCTTTTTGAAGGAGCCTGTCAACCTTCCATATCCTTTGTATGGTCCTTTATATTCTTTCCACCTTCTCTTTATTTTCTCATAGTCAGACAGTAGGTTATCCTGTTGATCTTTTAGCATTCTAGGTTGGAATTTACCTTTGATTTCTTGGTTTTTTATTTCTTTCTTCTCCTGAGTTGTTCTCTTCTATTTCTTAGCATTGTTTTTAGTTCTTTTAGCCTCTATGTGATAGTCATTGAAAAGTTGCATTTGAGTTTTTGACCCTATTTCTGTCACGCCTTGCTTTTCCTTCTTATCTGCCCTTAGCAACTGTGAGTGTTTCTTCTGTTTTCTTGCTTTTTTGCTGCAGGAACTGACTTTTTGAATTCTTGCCTAATAGCGACTTTGGTTTCCATCCCCAGTTCCTCTGATTCATGGTCAGCTGAGTTCAACCATACCAGTCTGTTCTTTATGTCAACTTTAACCTCCCCATGATGCCACCCTGTATAGAGCAGCTTCAGGAGTTGTGACAAAGCTGCATGGAATCCACCTCTCTAGCATTTGCAAATTTCCTCTCATGCTTGGCCAACCTGAGATTAAGTCTACAAAGCCTTGTGGAATGAAGGCTGTACAACCAACAGCCTTCTTTTATGAAGTGCCCAGCCCATGTGCACATGCACACAAAAGGCTGCTGCGCACGATTGGAAGAAAGATGATAGTTGCATCCTTCACATGGGGCTCAATTCCTGGCAAGCGCTGCAGAAATGCTGGGTGTGCTTGCCAGGAACTCAGACTCATGGCCACAACAAGGCAGACCAGAGTCTGGGAGCAGACTCCAGGGAATCTGATGGATTACTACCCAAAACAGATTCCTCATACATCCCCAGCCACCAGGGCCACTTCTCCCTCAGAAGCTCCCATGCATGGCTGAAATTTTGGTGCCACCCCCAATGGTAAAAGTAAAACTCTTCTCCTAAACTTTGCCTTAATTGATCTCCTCCCTGCATTTTTGAACACCCATGAATAGGGTTGCCAGAGTAACTGGGAGTTCACAGTAGCTCTAGTTAACATTTACATACCGAGGTCTCCATAATCCACATCTCTGATCTGGCCTGAACCGGTTTATGATCAGGACCCATTTCTGGACCCATTTCAGTCTGGTTTCAGACCCGGTTGCAGTACTGAATCTGCCTTGGTCACTCTGTACAATGACCTGTGCAAGGAGAGGGACAGGGGGAGTGTATCCCTGTTGGTTCTCCTGGACCTCGCAGCAGCTTTCCATGCCATCGACCATGGTATCCTGGATAGGCTGGCTGGGTGAGGAGTAGGGGGCTCTGCTTGGCAGTGGTTCCATTCCTATCTGGCCGGACAATTCCAGAAGGTGGTTCTGGGGCACTATAGCTCTGAGCCATGGCAACTCTGCCATGGAGTACCACAGAGTTCCATTTTGTCCTCCTTGCTATTCAACATCTACATGAAACCACTGGGAGAGGTCATCAGGAGGTTTGGGCTGTGGAGTCACCAATGTGCTGATGAAACCCAGCTCTGCTTCTCTTTTACAACTCATCCAGGTGAGGCAGTGACTGTCCTGAACCAGTGCCTGGTCAAGGTAATGCGCTGTATTAGGGCCAATAAACTGAAACTCAATCCAGATAAGATGGAGGTCATTTTGGTAGGTGGTTCAGGTTTTCAGGTAAGTGATTTTGGCCCTGTCCTGGATGGGGTTGCACTCCCTCTAAAGGACAGTCTGCAGCTTAGGAGTGCTCCTTGACCTAGAGCTGTCCCTGGAAGTCCAGGTGATGGTGGTGGCAAGGAGCCTTCCTTCAGCTTTGGCTGATCCATCAGCTGCATCCTTACCTGGATAACCACTGCCTAGCAACAGTGACACACACTCTGGTAACCTCCCGGTTGGGCTATTGTAACACACTCTACATGGGGCTGCCCTTGAAGATGGTCTGGATACTTCAACTGGTTCAAAATAGAGCTGCCAGATTGCTGTCGGGGACCAGTTGTTATTCTCATATAATACCAGTCCTTTATCAGCTTCACTGGCTTCCTGTTGAAGTCTGGGCCCAATTTAAAGTACTGGTTTTGACCTATAAAGCCCTAAATGGCTTGGGACCAGGAAACCTGAAGGAACATCTTTTTCCCTATATGCCCTCCCATCCCTTAAGATCTGCAGCAGAGGCCCTGCTCTGGGAACCCTCCTTAAAGGAGGTTAGGAGAGAGAACACCCGCAGAAGGGCTTTCTCTGTGGTGGTGCTCCAGCTATGGAATGTGCTCCCCAGAGAGGTCCACCTGGCGCCGACGTTATATACTTTTCAGCGCCAGGTCAAGACCTTTTATTTACCCAATATTTTAAAGTTTAAATATTTTAATTATGTTTTTATTGCAGTCGTGGGTTGTTCTTCTTGTTGCTGCTGCTGCTGCTGCTGCTGCTGCTGCTGCTGTTGTTCTTATTGGTTGTTGTTATTATGATTTTATTATTTTGTATTTGTTGGATGATTATTGTAAACCATCCAGAGACGGGACAACTCTGCCCCACCCCCCAAAAAAACCTTAAGTGAATCTGTTACTTTCTGAGGAAATAACAAATTCACCCAAGGTAAGTTCATCCATCATGGAACAGAACACCTTTGCTTTATACACATTCAGGCAACAGAAAAGGTGTAGCAACTTCCATTGGTCTTATTGGGCTTATATAGCTGAGGAGTTCTTGCTTGGAGGAATCAATAATTCAGAAGAGGGTACCAAGGTATCACTATGTGGTGTCATGGAAAGAGGGTTGGGCTAGGATTCTGAAGTCCAGATGTAAGTCCCTCTCAGCCGTGAAGCTCACTGAGAAACTTGGTCAGTCATACTCTCATCCCAACCTACCTCACAGGCAAGTTGGGCTGTCGAGATTGGACTGGAAGAAGGAAACCACATAGTGCTCCTGAGTGCCGTAGAGGAAAGAGGAAATATAAATGTGGTGTGTGTGAGAGAGAGATGGAAAGAGTGTATGTTTGTGTCTCTGTTATGCATTTCTACCAACAGAAGACTTCAAGATAATCTAGGAGACCCATAAATGAAACAGATTGAAACAATTGATCCATGTCAGTTACTTTTCCAAACTAAAACTGTCAACTAGGGAATCAGAACATATGGCCAATAGGGTAAAGATGAGGTGAGATTGCCTTTCCTCCTACATATTGCCATAGAAAATTGGACAAAGTTTGGGGTGGGATCAATATCCTGTGCCCCTGTAGTTTGCATTGGTGGCCATCAGCCGCTAATTTCTTCTGCCACAAACACCTTAAAGGCTTGCTCATGCCCTGAAAATGGGGTCATGAAATTGGGGAGAGGAGATTTTTGAGCCAGCTCTATTAGCAGCCTAAGAATCCTCCAAATCCTGGCCAAAATGATAACTCTTTCATAATTCACCTAAAACTTAACTTTTCTGAATAAACTGGACTCAGCCTTTTCAAATTATTTTCACTCAGCTCACATTCTGAATGTGATATTCCTCCACCCCTTGAAGACAAATGGCAGCTTTTCCAGACATATCTGGTTCTTGTCACTTCTGTTGCCTAATGACCGACCTCTCACAGTAGCATCACCTGTAACATACTAGAAGAAGCGACTTTGGTTATGAACTTAAATCCAAGCTTTCCAAGGCAGAGACATCAGCTTATATTGCCACACTGCAAGTCTCTTGCTCTAACACAGGTAGCTGCTCCCAAATTAGCCTGGAAAAGCTCAAAACTGAAATGCCACGTCGTGAATGTCAGGTGATTATAGCCACCCTCTGCAAGACTGCATGGTTTTGATCCAACCCTTAGCAACATACGTGTGTGTTGTGGTTATAGTCTGACACTGCCTCTGTATTTTTTCCTTCTCATTTTCTTGTCTTATACATGTTTCCCAGGATAGCCCACTGGTCTTACAGTCTGACAGGAATGTTACAATGAATGCAAGAAATCATATGGGACAGTTAACTGGACAACTGACTGTAGGTAAGTCTTATTTTCTAATGAAGCTTTCTGTATGCTCTGTTAACACTGTTATCACCTTTTCTTTTGAATTCTGTGATGTAACAGGAGGCATTACACTAAGATTATCTAGTTCAATGCACTCTGAATGCTGTGATGCCCACATAGCTGCAACTTTGGCAGAATTTAGCGCAGTTATGTAAAATATAATTGATAACATCAAACAACTGGATAAAAGAGACTTAACCCTATTTGGCAATGTTCGTGCGACTTGGCTTTTTTGCCAGGCTGATTCATCTCTGTTTACAGAGCTCTTTTAGACTTATAATCAGGTGATTTATGGATTTTAATAGCATAACAATGGAATCTGGGGAAATGTGTTGTCTCTGTTTCTTTTTATTTATTTGTTTGTTTGTCCGTGTTATTACATTTCTGTACTGTCTGGTAACAATAGTTCTCTGGCCAATTCAAAAAATAAAGCTTAAAGCCATACAATATGAAACAATAAAACTATGTAAAAAAGGCAATTTAACATAACAGAGGAAAACCCAGCATCCTTGCAGTATTGAAAATTCACTTAAAGTTTTTAAACTTTAAAGGCCCTCTCCAATAAATAAACACACTTGTGAGCATTTAACTGCCACCAAAAGGACCACAATGGAGAGGACATTCTACAACTAATGTAGCACCACTGAGAAAGCCTTCTCTATGGTAATTACCTGCCAGACCTCTTCTAGTGAGGGGAGCGTCTGTAGACAATTTTAGGGTCCAGGCAGCTATTTATGGGATGGAACAACACCTCAGGTAGCCTACTCCTAAGACCTTCAGGATTCTGGAAGTTAATACTTAAAGTACTTTGAATTAGGCTCAGAAATGGTGGGCTAGAAGCTACTGCAGATCACAAAGCACTTGCATAATACAATTAAATAGGCCAGTCTCTATTAACAGACTTACTGCACTGTTTTTGGACTAACTTTAAGTCCTGGAATGTTTTTCAATGCAATCCCACATATAAATCATTGCAGTCACCTATATCAGGTTATATTCTTTTTTTTAATATTTTTTATTAAAATTTTAAACTAACACTAAAAACACCATCCATCATTGAACACATTGGAAGTACTGGGTCAGCCCCCACTCATATTTTTAACAATCTATAATCATATTCAAATCCATTTGTAATGACTTACAGTAACTTAAAAACATCTTTAAATCTAAGCCAAGTCCCGTTTCTCTAAGCAATAATAAAAAGAGTCCCAAGTTTGATAGAAGCAATCAGGTTATATTCTTATGTAGATTTTGAGAAAAGAGAGAGAGAATGGAGATCCTGAGCATGGCCTTAGATACATTTATTTACTTCTATTATACCCTTTTTTTCCTTCTAAGGAACTCAAGGTGGCTTACATCATTCTCCTCTTCCTGCTCTCAATCATATGCCCATATGCCCATAACAATAATCCTGCGAGGTAGTTTGTGCTGAGAGTCTCCCTGGCACAAAGTCAGCCAGTGAACTCCAAGGTGGAACGGGGACTAGAAGCCAGATCGCCTGAGTCCCCAGCCCACATGCTTAACCACTACACCACATTGGGTCTCTTTGAACACTTTCAACAGGGCTGCCAGACTTATGCCACTGATGTACTACTGATTTAAGCCACCCCGACACATCGCCAATACCATAAATTGATGTGACAAGTCTCCCCAGAAGATTGCCATAGTCTCATGCCAGAGGTTGCTTATGCTACTACTACAGAAGGTGGCCTTAGTGCAGGGGGACCATTCAATACTGCCCCAAAGAAAACTGGAAACTGTCTTCCCTTAAATAGTGGGAATGGCCACCCATTCAAAAATATTACATTCCAACACAGATGTATAGATTGCATTGCAGGATTGGCATTTCCATGTTTTAATTTTTCAACTTTGAAAACACTAGCATTTTCAGATGGCTTACACGTTTACACCCCACCACCCACATTTTCATTCACTGTGGTCAAAATAGAAATTGGTTATACACTGCATATGACAATCTATGGCTTCAGTCACACAATGCCTTTGACATATATGAAATATATTAGTGGCTGAGAAAACAAATTTTCAACTCAAGGTTTCCCTTGCTGTAGGTCACAGAATAATAAATCACGGAGTGGAGAGATACCAAGTGATGAAGACGTACATACCATCAGCTTCCTTCCTTTCTCCTGGCTTTGTTTTCAGCATTTTGTGTTCTTAGTTTCCATTTACAGTTCACATACCGAGCACCTTCTGGAAAGCTTAATACTTATTGAGTACCCCACTCCAGCAAATGCATGACTTTTATTTTAAATTGGAACCATCTTTCAGATCTGTAGAAGGAAGAAAGGAGGAAACCCGGAACACTTGAACAGCAGTATTTAAATCATGACCTTCCTATGAGCATGTGCCATACATTATTCTCCATTTTTATGTATGTTCAGGGTCAATGGCTGTGATTCCTATGAATTAAGTCATAAATCACCATCCAGTGTTAGGGTAGTGATCTGCTTAGGTTGTCATCATTTCAATGATTCTGTTGAACCATCCTGAAATTTTCCTTAGTGATCATGGAACAGATTAACCCTAGGCTTGCAATTTTTAGTTGACTGGTCAGTTAAATTAATTAACTGAAGTAGAAAGCCTATGCATGTTCCTAGACGAAAATAAATCTTCCCAATATTCCCTAGCTATTCATACTGGCTACAAAATGCTAGGAACTGCATGCCATAGGATCATGCCCTAAAATCTTTTGATAAATTAAAACATATCCTCCATACTACTGGTGAGCAGCCTAGGTATGATCTTAGAAGAAGAAGTCCGTATTTCTAATATGATGCTAACTGCAACCTTTCTAAAGGAATATAAAAACCTCTAAAAATAACTTTTCCCTGTTCTGAACTTTTAAAATATGGAAATGCATACAGATGTAATGGTGTAATTAATTGATAGAAATTGTATGATTCATCCATGGATATTTTTAAATAAACCCATAAATATCATTGAATAAACAGATAGCATAAAATTGTTTTAGGTATACTTTTGCTCAAACAAATTATCCTTTAAAAGCTGTTGCCACCAGCTTTTAAAAACCAAACAAGTATACTTCTGATTTATCCAGGTTGCGGCTATGGTGTAAGATGCAAAAAGGAATGGGCCAGATAAATCCTTCAGATGTTTCTTGTCCCATTCAAGATAATAGTTGAAGATAATGGCCACATTCCCACAAAATGATAAGCCACAATCCGGGAAATGTTCAGGTTTATGTTCAGAAGCAAGCACACAAATACAAGCTGCCAGATCACTCCCACTTGGCAGCCCCCTGGATAACAATATGCTAGGTCTGGGATGTAAGCAAGCAGGTATCTATGGCTGGAGCACCAGGACCAAGGAAGATGGAGGTAGATGGAGATCTTGACATGATGCAGTAGGCCAGAGGCAAAGGCAAAGTAAGGAACAATTAAACTTCAAATTACATCAAGGCATATCAGGACCAAACTCAAAGACAGAGTGAGTGACAATGGGGGTTTTAGTTATCCCACAAGGTCTGGCAGGTCCAGAAGCTAAGGGAAAACCAGGATGAGGAAAAGGCAGAGCCATGACCAAGTTAGGTCAGATATTGACAGATGACAGAAGCAGCGGAGAAGGCAACATCAGGAGCAACCGAGGATCAAATACCAACAAGGTGTAGCATCACCAGAGATGGAGGCAAAGGCCAGGCACTTTGCAAGGTGGGGTCAGACCAGAGGAAAGGACAGAATCAGGAGCAGGCAAGAGTGGGAGCAGGAGCAGGAACATGATACACCCACCACAAAAATCCTTGTTGGTGGGGCAAAGCTACACAGTGCAGGAACACCATTTATAGTACCTTCCGGAGCCCTTAGAGGCATGGCATGATGGCACAGGCCACAATCCTTGCAAGTAACTACACATGTGATCTTGACCCTGCAGTCACTTTCCTGTTGAACCTTGCTGTTTTTACCAAGCATGTCATCGGAGGGAAGTGTGTTGTTCTTGCAGATTCTGCAAGAACTTACAAACATGGGGACTTCAGTGAATAGGAGCTCACAGACAGGAAAAAGCCTCTCACTACATGCAGAATGGACTCTTGGTCCTACAGCTTCTTTCCTAAAAAAAACTGCAGGCTGGAGCTAGATTTTGAAGTTGGTTTATAAAAATGAGCTTGTTTGGGACAAAAGGCTAGGAGTCGGGTTCACATGTAACACTAAGCTTTATTCTTGCTGGCAAGTTCCTGTTGGGAAGAGTAAGGATGCAAAAGCATGACTGATCAGACTAGGGGTGATGGCAGACTGATATTTGAGCTATTCAAGGTTCTTCATTTTCTAGCTTGAAGCATGTTTTGCCTCATTCTTGTTTCCAAAAGCAAGAGTGATTTTTTTCCCCCCAAACATAAAAAGTGTGCCTATCTGACCAATTCCATCAAGCATACACCCAAATGCTCCTCTCCCCTGCACCACCACTGATTAAAGAATACAAGTGCTCCCTGTGCAGGGAAAAACATACTTTAAAGTGTGCATTTTTTAAAAAAGAATGTAACTTGCAAATTCAATTGCAAGCTTGAGAATGATCAAACTTTCCTCAAAAACTGCATTTGGGTTGTGAGCATAGCATTTTCACTCATTTTTCTAACTGTAATAACCCCTAGATAAGCCAGGCACTTCAGAATTTATGGCTTTGTGTGCATGTGGCCAAACCCTGCATGTGGAGGACTAAAGCTGGGAAGCACTCTCTCAGCCCAACTCATCAATGAGCCCTTGCTGATCTGAAACAATTAGACATGGGAGGCATGTCTGACTATCTATTATCTTGAAGGCTTGTATTATTGGGCAAAAATTCTACCTGGATACTTTTAACCTTGTCCAAAATATCTAGGATGCAGGAAAGGGGCTTCTGGAATAGATAGTAGGACTTTCCAGAAGATACAGAACCTGCCAGCTACCATCTGACTAATGAGTCACTGTGTTTTCCCTTTTCATTTTGAAGGGAGTGTTATTTCA